TGCAAGCCCCAAAAATGTTACAGAGGACATCCAGAGACTAGAAAGAACTACGTGAGACTGCAGGATTATTGAAAAAACAACCAATGGTTTAGCCAATTAAAGTTATTCCTAGAAAGCAAAAACAATTCACAGGTTTGATTCATTAATTCATTCAGGTATACTTACTATCAGAAGATAGAGGTTTAACATCTTCCTTTCCTGAGAGTTTTCCTGTTCTTGTGAGCATTTCATCATCGACTGTAAGGGCGGGTTTCTCCATCCTACCTTGTACGTCTCTCATCTGAATGAAAGTAAAGATTAGTCTAACTGATGTATCTGTGTAATGTGAAACTGCTTATCTTGTTTAAAGATAGTGCAAAGGAAAATATCACACATTTATAATTCAGAGCTTGATCAGCATTCAACGAAGTATCCAGGAAATATGACCACCCAGATTTCACTTACTTGAGCAGCTGCAGGGGAAAATGCATTCTGACTGTTTGTTTTATCCGTCTTAATATCCTCACCAGTCTCCAAATCCGAGATGCTAAATTTATCTTCAACTCCACCTTTGCTTCCATTTTTTCCACTGGACTGATCTTGAGCCTCAACTGCCACTTTTCGCTTTGGTGAAACCTCAGGGCTGAAGATTTTGATGAAATCTTTTAGCACTCTGCTACCACGACTTTTCTCTCCTGAAGGTGGACGTGAACTTTGAGTTCTGGGGCTCCCTGCTGATACATTGCTCTTTGCATTATTGATACTCTTCTTTGTTCCTGAAGAAAGAGAGAGAGAGCACCAGCTTCAATAAAGTTCCATCAAAACAACATGAAAACAGTTTATATTACTGTCCAAGAAAAGAGGCATGCCGTTTACTGGTACAGAAGTTACATAAGCTGACAGACTACATACTTAATGACATGCGAGCAGCGTTCTAAATAAAAGGATACCTGCTTCTTTGGATTTATCACCCTGCAGGTACTCATCAAACACTGAAGATTCCTCCTTGGTTGTTGAGTTTATACTGTGTTTTCTTTCAAACAAGCCATCCTTCCCAGATTTGTAATCTTCATAGTCAGTCTGACTTTTTGATGCAGGCGTGGCAGTTGACATGCTTTCTTCCTCATCAATTAGGTCGATGCCTTGCACAATTACTTGAGGGAAGCTTCTAACCCCAATAATATTTCCATCTTTTTCTTGCACACTAGCTGGCAACATCAACAAAGCTCCTTTCCCTGCCCACTTATAGAATGAAAAATGGAACTTGTCACTGCTGATGAAGCTTGCTGAGCTAATAGGAGTCCCTTCACATTCACTGTCCATAGAGTTAACATGTTGAGAGGTGTCCTTCTTATCTCCACTTGAACGGAACCGGGATAGGAAGGGATATCGATGCCACGAAAAGGGATTCTTCTTTGAATCTTGCTGGGATACCCCCTGGGCAAGAGAACTGTTTGTAGATGAATTCGGTGAAGCTGGAACACTGTAACCATAAGATGTGTCATCATCATTTCTGTTGGATATATGCCGGGATGGAGAAGTAGGCACTGAACTGTCCACACCTCTGGTGAACTTCATGGAGAAGCTGCAAGAAGCAGAAATAAGTAAAATAAAAATAAAGCATGATGTGTAATTCTGTGCATTCATGTGTGGAGTGAAATTTCACAAGGTGTAAGCAGATAGTGGTTATTTACAAGATAATGCAGGGGAAATGGACATCAACCATTAAACATAGCATTTTCGAACAAATCACTAAAATAGAGAATAACGGCTCTGAGCAAAAAGAAAAGAAAAACTGCACTATGCCATAAACCAAAGCAGATAGCCCAATCCACTCGCCCCGGCCGTGCTCCATAGCATGAAATGATCTTTGATCATTTGGATGACACGGGACAGCAGTGCAGCCACATCGTTGAAGGTCTTATTGTTTCTTTGCTTACGTCATGACGATCAGAATGACGAAACTGTTATACCATGCCTGCACACCTTATCAAACCACTCTCTGGCTGCATCCACCAATCCTTGAACACTGAGTGAAGGGAGGGCGCCCGATGAGTATAACCCAACCAGTCCATCAGAAACGACCATATAATTCCCTGATCGGCGCAACCAACCAGGAGATGGTCAATATCTTCAGACTTCAGTGCCACTCCAAAACAGTGCAGCCAATTTGGAGCAGCCAGATAATAGGGTCATGCCCAATGCTCTGTCATTTCTTTGTTTAAATTCCACACTAGAAAAATTGATGGTATACACATGTCGCATTTCTTAGCGTGACAGTATCCGTAATCGGCAAGAACAATGGGCACCTATATTGTTCACATCACTTTACTAGTTCAGTATGGAAATCCCGCAGAACACTAACTGAACCAAATACCTGGACCGAGACAGCAGGCGGCTGGTGGACCCGCCGGGCGATGTGGGCGCGCCGAACACGTCGCGATCGCCGGAGGCGCCGCCTCGCCTGGGCGACGTCGGCTCGCCCCCCGGGAAGATATCCTTGTAGAACTCCTGGCCGAGCTGCCTCCGCTCGGAGCTGGTGCGGTCCCCGAAGACGGGCCTCTCCCCGGGCCCGCTCTCCCCGCCGCTCCGCCGCTCCCTGGACGCGAAGCCGGAGCTGGTGCGGTCCCCGAAGACGGGCCGCTCCTCGGCCCCGCTGCGCGCCCTGGACGCGGAGCCGGAGGGCGAGTCGAGCGAGGAGCGGCGCCCGCGGTCGCTCCCCGACGAGCGGCGGGGCGGGCCGCCGAAGACGTCGGCGAAGTCGACGTCGGACCTGCGCGGGGCGCCGGCCATGGCGACGAACGCGTGTGGGTGTGGCAGCGGGGAGCGGCCGAGCAGGTGGCGTGGGTTTGTGGCGGGGAGCGTGGCTGGGACTGGGAGTTTCGCATGGCTGCGGTTTTCGCTCGCTCGGACGTCGGACCCTCCACGTCGGCATCGGCGGCCCGGACTGGCTTGTCCGTTGCGACGGCCGCCTGTGATTTCACTCGCGTCGTTTTCGCGGCTGTCGGGCCGCGATCGGGCCAGTTCTAGCGATGGGCTGCCCTTGCTTCTCAGCCCAGTTATCGAAGTTTCGGCCGAAGGCCCATATTAAGGTTTATTTCCGTTGCGACCGACTACCGAAACCTAACCCCCGCTCCTCCTCTATATAGCCGCTTTCCTCCCAAGCGACAGCCAACACGGCCGCCATCGCCTCCGCCTCCGCCTCCGCTCATCGAAGGCCGCAGCCGTTCCTCTCTCCGCTTCCGCCTCCGCTCATCGAAGGCCGCAGCCGCTCCTCTCTCTGCTTACGCCCCGTTTCTCTGTAGATTTTTGTGGTACGTTCGTGTTGCTTCTGAGTTTTTGTTGTGGTACTAGATTAGAATCATCAGATAATCTCTGATTCTCTGGTTCCGAAATCTTTCTCGATGAAGAGAGTACAAGCAGACGGGCGGTCTGAACTGATGCCATGTTGATATGTCTGCATCATCCGTGCCTGCCCCTGTGGTTGGCATCCGAGAGAAAACACAAGGATTCCCATCTGTTAATTTTTTGTTTTGTACATGTTTGCGCTCGGCTCATATTCATCCTCTTAGATGCAGTTCAGTTTTTACTGGGCTCGGATCTAATGGGGGCAGAGCCGGCGCGGATAGTTAGATGGTTTACTTACCAACCCTTAGCAGCGTTTGCCATTGCTTTGGAGTCAAATAGCCTAACCCAGATTTTTAGTTTTCACATAGTTTTTGACTTCTTTTTATTCTTGGTGCTGGCAAGTGATGAACAGATATCCTACACTCTCAATGGTAAATACCACGTGTGGACTCATAATCTCTGCTTATTATCTGATGCCTTGCATTAACACGCTCTATTTGTCACCTTAGTTTTTTTTCCTTGCAAATTTACCAATCTTCGTGTGCAAACCAAGGGTGGCAAGTGTGTCACCTTAGTTTTTCTATTAATCAGTTTGAACCCACTTTACAAAACTGCCGTCTCTTTGTTTAACTCTGTTGTGAATTTTGTTTGAATGATGGCAGTGATTTGAATCTTACCCGCGCTTCTGATTAATTCATGAAGTACAAGGGAAAACATGGTTGAATTTCTTAATATGAGCCATAATAAAAATATACTTACTTACTTACGAAGCCTTTTATCCCAAACAAGTTGGGGTAGGCTAGATATGAAACCCTTTCACGAGGACTTCCCAGGAGGTCACCCATCCTAGTACTACTCTTGCCCAAATGGGTTTCATACCCAAAAGACTGGCTAGTTTTTACGTTGGCTCGCCAAGCCTATCACAACCCTTAGATATGAAACCCTTTCACGAGGACTTCCTAGGAGGTCACCCATCCTAGTACTATTCTCGCTCAAATGGGTTTCATACCTATGGGACTGGCTAGTTTTTACGTTGGCTCGCCAAGCCTATCACAACCCTCCTCCTTTACCCGGGCTTGGGACCGGCTATGCCTAGAAGACATAGGCGGAGTTAGCCATAATAAAAATATAAAGTCCTTTTTTATATTTGTGTTCTCTGGTTTGACCATGGCTGTGATGATAAACACTTTCAGCAAACATGCCAGTTCTGCTTCTGACAATTCATGACTGAAAAACCTGTTAATACAATATCTGAGCCGTTGCACTTCAATTTTTTTTGCCTATTCTTGATAACTGAAAATTAATGATTGATTACCTTAGTCTGTTCCTTGCATTTTGAATCAGGATTAGTGGCATGTGATTTGTTGTGAAACATCTGAATTGCCGATGATGCTGTACCCAACATTTGGAGGTGCAGATGGCTCTAGGATCCTGTTTACAGGATGAACCTACCTCGAGGCGCTGTATCCACATGACATTAATGGGCAAGTCTGAGTTTCAGATGAATCTTTTGTTGCTGTTCTCAATTTGAGTTCTGCTATTTTTGAACTGAAAACAAGTTGAGTTTAACTATCCTCACAAATATCTCTGATTTGCGGAAGAGGCTGAAATCAGCTTTGTCTCTTGATTCTATGAGATGGGAGTTAAATAATGGCACGAGATTCACTCATACATTCCCTGCCTGAATCATCTTTGCAGCAGAACCGGCTGCAAGATATCTGAAGAAACAAACTCGGACGCTCTATGATCATTTGTGGTAAGCAAAGTTGGATCTCAACAATGATAAATGATCCACCTACGGTTAGCATATCTCCTAATGTGCTGATAAATGATCTCAACAATGATAAATGATCCACCTACGGTTAGCATATCTCCTAATGTGCTGAATACAAGAACCTCTATTGGGGTGACTTCAGGCATCGATTTTGTGTGCTTTGTCATCTGGTCTCAACTTGCGATCTGTTTGTGCTTCATCATCTGGTCATTGGGATGATCAGTCTCTTGAGTCTGATCGGTTCCCACTGGACTCGTTCCCTTGAAGCAAAAGCATCCTGTTGTATTCGCCCCTCTTGTGTGCCCTCTGAGTTTTTTTCCCAGGGCAACAGCGGCTCTTACATACATGCACATATGCCTGTTGACACTTTCTTGGTATTTTGATTTTGACAACCGTGATGAGCCAATTTTACAGTTACAGACCTGTAATGACTCCTGTGGAAATGATCGCATGGTCAAAGAACATCTAAGGGACTGAGTTGTCTTTGTATTTTGGATCTTTGCTGTCAGCAGTTTAGATGTCGCTGCCTTATTTTTCATCTGCTTCTCTTCACTGTATTTGTGCATGTAAACTAATCCGAATGGTTCTTGGACAATGAGAAATGTTAAGCAGAAAGCAGAAGTTCCTCTCGCTATCCAGTGTGGAATTTCTTGTGATGTGATTGAACGTTGAGGAGTTTGATTGAACTTTTGTCTTCCAATTTGAACAACCTCAACACATATGAATTGGAACGACAAACAAAGCTTTTGACAAAAGCAGCCTATCCAGAGAATGGACTACGTGGTGGTGGTGGAGGAAGGTCCAGAGGAAAGAGGTATGGTGATAATGGTGGGTGGGGGGGGGGGTGGTTTACTTACCAATCCTTTGCACCATTTGCCGTTGCTCTGGAGTCAAATGGTCTAACCAAAATTTCCTGTTTCAGATGTTTTCTCAAAAAAATTGAGCTGTACTGCTGGCCTCTTCTCTTATTTTTTTCCCTTGTGAATTTTTTTATCTTCCTGTGCAAATCAAGGGTGGCAAATGATGTGAAATATGATATGCTAAACACTGAATCTTTGATATGTTTACAAAACTCCGCTTATTATCTGATGCCACTCATCAGTTTCAACTTTCAACCCAGTTTTTGAAGAGGTTAGCTGTGCAATTTTGGTTGCTGTTAGTATCGGTGTTTTCTTAATGCCATCATACCTGTGTTTCTGATTAATTCATGAAGCACAAGGGGAAAAATGGTTGAATTTCTTAGTATGAGCCATACGAATGTTAATTATTATTTTTGACTGACAAACCTGTTATATTGCACTTGATAAAAGCTGTGTACTAAAATAACTGGAACATTCTAATGGTGCAGTTGTTTTGGAAAGTTACTTTAACCTAATCAGAGAGATGGTTTACAAAAACAATTTTGATGTGTACTATCCCAATGCTGATATCTGGAAATTCATGATTAATATAGCTGTTAAACCTTTGTATATTGCATGTCTTCTTTTTGATCCTGAATTAGGAGCTTGTAATTTTTTCTGAAATGCCAGTGATGCTATGCCTAACATCTTGAGGCGCAGATGGCTCCAGGATCCTGTTTACAGGATGAACCTACCTGAAGTCCCTGTATCCACATGACATCCATGCGCAAGTCTGAGGTTGCTGATGATCCCATGATTTATTCTTTTTAAGAGAAAAACTAATCCTCTGTATCAAATGATGAGAGAATACTGCAACAATATGATCCATGATCTGATTCTTAGTATTTAAGTCTCTGATGATCACTTTGCCAAATTTTCTTGTTTTTTTCTCTCTTGTTTTTTTTCTCCAAAAGTTGATCCTCATGGGGTGTGATGAAGAAAAGTTGGTCCGTGTTTCTGATGTCCTGTGACTGATAACCATCTTTAGTTTCCTTCTGATCCCTCGTGCAAGTGCATCTTTGTTCATCCATTTTTCTTGTAATTGTCTTTTTAGATGTTTTCTCGTATTTGCTAGTTTTGTGGCATTGCATTGATGAATTGTGAATTTTCGCATGTCAGACTTCAGAGATGCCTCTGGCATCAATGAGAAGTCATTTCATATTACTGAGCAATGAAATACCATCTGTAATGTTTCAGGACTGCCTCACCCTTGTCTCCGATGATCACTTTGCCAAATTTCTTTTTTTTTCTCTCGTGCTTTCTTTCCAAAAGTGGATCTTTTGTGGGATGTGCTGAAAAGTTGGTCTGTGTTTCTGATAATACTAAAGTCTTTGTGTATCAAACGATGAGAGAATACTGCAACAATATGATCCATGATCTGATTCTTAGTATTTAAGTCTCACTTTGCCAAAGTCTCTGATTCTTAGTTATGAAAAGTTGATCTTCATGGGGTGTGATGAAAAGAAGTTGTTCTGTGTTTCTGATGTCCAGTGACTGATAACCATCTTTAATTTCCTTCTGATTCCTCGTGCAAGTGCATCCTTGTTCATCCATTTTTCTTGTAATTGTCTTTAGATGTTTTTTTGTATTTGCCTAGTTGTGGCATTGTGTTGATGAATTATGAATTTTCGCATGTCAGACTTCAGAGATGCCATTTGTAATATTTCGGGGACTGCCTCACCCTTGCAACCGTGATTCTTAGTTCTCCCTCCGATCCTAAATATAAGTCTTTCAAGGGATTTCAAAATGGACTACATACGGATGTATAGAGA